GGGGGTGCTTTTTAAAATTTATTTATATTTCACGATACATAATAATGACATGATTAAATGATTAAGAGATATTCATCTTAAAAAAAAACTATGTTGCAATTACTACAAAAAGACAGTAAGTACAACAGGAATTATAATTTGATATATTTCAGAAGTGCATACTTCTGCTACATCTGTGTTTCAGGATTTGTGCTACCTCAAATTTTGCATTTTAAAATATTTTAACCCCTTCTGCAGCAACCAAATATAAGAATCTAGCATGCACAAGGCAAACGCACACATGACAGTAAAGCATGCACCTAGTGAACAGATTTTTAGGTCCCAAATCTTTTCTTATATAAAAGTATTTTCTAATTCATACACACTGAAGAGATTTCCGCTTCCTGCCCATTTTGCTATGTGTGCATTTGTTTGTTTTCGTAGAAGTTTTGCGGCGCTCGCAACTAAGTAAAGTCATATGAGCGCCAGAAAATTAGAGGTGTTACAAGAGAGTAACAAACATAAAAAAAGGAGAAGGGGAGATAAGGACAAAAGATGTTTGATAGGAAAGATAAAGCAAACCACACCAGAGCACCCGCCAACCAAATACGTGTGCATGCTAGACTGTATGATGAGAACGAATCAACCATCCACTACGACATTCTCCATCTGTAATATAAAGCTTAAACTCATTAGTCGAGTTGACTGTTAACTCAAAATGACAGCCCCGCCTTTCCCATCCACACACAAACTCAATGATAAAGACATACTTGCAAACTTCAGATGGGAGAGAGAGAAAAACAATCTTAATATAACCTGTAGCGTTGGCTACTCTTGTAATTCTTAACATCCTTCTAGACACTAGCAGACACAGATTGTCTAGACATTAGATCAGCTAGATTTTAACAGGTCAGACTCAAACTCTTGAATTTTGGAATCAAAATAAAAAAAGAAAAGAGCAAAGGAGACAGAAAAACAGCTACATTATCATTAACTGTATTTATTACAGCCTGACTATTAAGTTTAACAGACAATAGTCATGCATGGTAGTCTGGCAACTGCAAATATTACACCTTAGTAATCTATTTGTGTAGTTACATAAAAATTATATTTATATTAATAAGCTAATATATGATGATGGCCTCCAACCCTTCATTTAGAATGGTAACGTTTTACTTCTAACTCCCACAAACAGATGCACTGCTTTTGCGGGTCAAAACTTCTGTCATATTTAGGCTGCAGAACACATATTATATGACCACTAAAAAAAACTGTCGCAAATCAATTTTTTTTCAGGAATATTTCAAACCTAATTAATTGCAAATAATGTCAAATTATTAATTAAGGGGAATTACAGGGGGCTAGTTCCTATATTAGTCCTTAAAACCCTCCCTGATTTTTACAAAATAATATTCTCAGCGGAGTATAATTCCTATCTGGAACGGAACTCCCTCCCCCAGATTTTTTATGCACAAAACTTAGGCTTACAGTTAGGCTTAGGTGTACATAATATTTATAGCAGCAACCATCAATAATTTGCGACAGATGCTGATATGAGCTCAAAATTTGTGTAAAACGAGGATAAAAATCAACCAAAAAACTATAAAGCAACAGCCTACCTGAGCATGAAAGTTAGGCTACCATGATAGTAAAATATATCAGTTTTTTCCTGCTCTTTTCTAATCTAGATCTAGATCTTGCTGCACTTGTGTCAACAAAATCTATTTTTTGTTTGTTTTAGTAGAGGTTTTACAGCGCTCGCAACTGCATAAAAGGAAATTCTGTGAGCGCCACCACAAAAATCTGTTGTTTATAACAGTAAATCATCAAATATTTCAAAAACACAGTTTACGAAGGAAAAGTCAACATATTCATGTCATGTAAAAAAGAGAAGAATGAACCATGAAATATCTGGAAGTACAACAATTTTAATTTGAGACGGTAGAAGTAGCCTGGCCTAGAATATTACCATTCCTATACATTCTTGGCCTGCTTCTCTCAAGTCTCAAGATCGTACATAATTATTAATAATATGTAGGCCAATTGTTGTATAGAGCCTCTATTAGAGGCCTTCACAAATGTACATCATGTTGTAGATTCTAGATTAGATCTATTATAACAAATGCACATCTAAATCTAGATCTAGATCTAGATCTAGATCTAGATCTAGATTAGATTCTAGACTATAGCATAGTATAGCCTTGTGACAATTTTAAGTTTACTCAACCACAAGGTAGATCTAGATCTAGATATCTAGATCTATAAGAATGCGGGAAAGTGTTATTTGGTTAATTAGGAATAGATCTAGATATAGATTCTAGATCTAGATCTAGATATCTAGATATCTAGATCTAAATAAAAATAATAATCATAAAACTTACGAGCCGCCGAGCCAATCGTGAAATTTAATTTCGCCCTTTGAGGTATTTGCGGTGAAGTTAGGGAAAACGTCTCCAAGGTTCACCATCTTGAACTTGTTGAATTAGATCTTATAATATAGTCTAGATCTAGATCTAGATATCTAGGCCTATGACGATGAAAAAGAGAAGCGTCGACCGGTGAATGGACAGGAAAAGCAGGAGTTGGCCCAAGGTATTTATCTACAAGCCGCAGCCCACAGCAGTCAACGAGAAAGCCGTGTGGTGGGTTTGTCCGTGCGTTGTTTGCCTCGCTTTCGCAACTTCCCAACGTTGCGGTAGCCTAGCCGTAGGCCCCGGCGGTGACAGCGGTGTTTGATTGTACTCTGACCTTTGCACTTCCACTTTCCATCTTGACCCTCGATAGGGTAGCTGCTGGTACAACACTGGTAGAACCTACATGGCTACATGGAATGATGGAATGTGGGCTCGCTTCACACCTTTTGTACCAATGTGTGTGTGTGTGTTTGTTTGTGTGTGTGTGTGTGTGTGTG